TGCGAAATTACCAAAGGATGGCCCTAGGGTTCATCAAGGGCTCCATCGCCGACAAAAGGAAGGATTGTGGGCCATGTAATATGTGTGTGTGTGCCGAGGTGACCATGTACCTTTTCTCAGTATCATCATAATGGTGAAAGATTATATGTACTCCCTATGAATTGTGGTTTGCAGATCCCCGGATCTGTCTGTTTGAGGCAGATTGCAATTTGGGGAAGCAGTGGTGATGTCTCTATGGATGTTATTTTCCGCGCATTCGGAGCCGGCCATTCCGTTGCTCAAGTTAACTTCCATTCCTTACTTTTCAAACGGGCCATAGTGTCATTTAGTTGAGGCATTAGGCCACTTCTGTCGAAGTGCGTCTTTGGCTCGCTGGAATTCTCCTTTACTTGCACTGGTGTAGCTTTGGATGAGATGTCACCCTGCGCTGGTGCGTCTCGCTGAAGAGATCGTCGTTCCGCTCTGGTGTGCCGCACTGAAGGGAGCGTCGTTCTGCTCTGGTGTACCGCGCTGAACGGAGCGCGTTCTGCTTTGGTGTACCGCGCTGAAAGGAGCGTCGTTCTGCGCTGGTGCACCTCGCTGAGGGGAGCGTCGTTCTGCTCTGTTGTACCGCGTTAAAGGGAGCGTCATCCTGCGCTGGTGTACCGGGCTAAAGGAAGTGTGGGCGCTGAATGGAGCGTTGTTCTGCTCTGGTGTACCGCGCTGAGGGGAGCGTCGTTCTGCTCTGGCGTACCGCGCTGAACGGAGCGTCGTCCTGCTCTGGCGCACCGCGCCGAACGGAGCGTCGTCCTGCTCTGGCGCACCGCGCTTAAGAAAGCGTCGTTCTGCGCTGGTGCACCTCGCTGAAGGGGGCGTCGTTCTGCTCTGGTGTACCGTGCTGAAGGGAGCGTCGTCCTGCTCTGGTGCACCGCGAAAGGAATCGTCGTCCTCTGGTGCACCGCGCTGAAGGGAGCGTCGTCCTGCTTTGGTGTACCGCGCTGAAGGGAGCGTCGTTTTGCTCTGGTGCACCGTGCTGAAGGGAGCCTTGCACTGCCCAGGTGTACCGTGCTGAAGTGAGCGTCGCTCTGCCCAGGTGTACCGTGCTGAAGGGAGCGGCATTACCCGTTTCTGTTAGATCAGGCGCATCCGATTTGATTGGTAATATCGGTTTTTCCCAAATTCTTCTGAATAGCTCAGAATTTTGATTCAAAACATTTGATCTTGTCCCGCTCCTAGAGGAGAAATATCACTGAATTCCCTGTTCACCACTATGCAAATATTGCATGTCATTTGCATTGTTTTTTCCAAAGTACGTGCTCTAATGTTTGCAACACATTGCTTTGTCAAATTGTTTGTGTAATAAATGCTACAAATGCTTTTTGGTCGGAGAAAAAGATGCGCGAACGTGAAGATATTATGCCGCAAAATCAACGAAGCCTATACTATGGCCTTGATTTCTTCCCTGGAGCGTTTGTCACAGTGGCTTTTTTCCAGGCACACTTTGCCTTCGGGATAGGAACATCACATGAGCCATAGTGACGCTCTTTTATCCACACCAATAGGGGTGCCATAGTAGTAACTTGGACTCGAAAATAATTAAATTGATGTTCTTATTTACTAACGGTGATACAGTGGCACCAACTAGCGCCATTATTAGACGTAACTGGCGCTGGAGTTTCACCAGTGTGTTTTGAAATATGCCTAAAGAAAGGACACTCACTTTAACCAACGAACATATCTGACCGGCCAATGCAGGTTTAGCTTTGATGGAAAGAAGAACAGTAACTAAAGTCTTACGGTCTGTCATAAAGCGAGGACAAAAGCATACAGATGTTTCACATCAGGTTTATTTAGCGTGAGGTCAAACTACGTGAGATTTTATAACCTAGCAAATCTGCGGACCACGTAGAGGTGCAAGAGTGTGCGACGCGCTATGCCTCCCTTCCTTGAGTCCTTCCATGGAGCGCCAGCGAATGTACAGGTCATAAAGGAGCACAGGGGTCATGTGGCAATGGGATCCGAACCAGGGCCCGACGTTGGAGCCGAAGGCGCTAACGACCCAGTAATTACGGCTCCTTTTTGGGAAGTGAATGTGGGCGACGAGGTCTGAGCAGTGGGATAAGCCTATTCATACGATATGTCTGCCTTAGCATGTACAGGGCACACCCCGCTTCCTCCTTACAAATGGGGCATTAAGTTGAAATCCCGTGCTCGGAACTGCCACAACTCGGCCATTTGATTGGCGCTGTACACGCCAGCCCGTCACGTGCGGTTCCCCCGCGTTTCAGTCGCCTGGCGTTCTGTTTGCAGGTCTTGCTGCCATGCCCAAAACATTTGCAATTGAAACGCCGAAGTGCATTGAGTATGACGACCATGCCTCTGTAGAGAAGACAGCCGGCAGTGGAGGTTTGTGGGAGACGTATGCTTTGAAAAGACGAAACGAGCCGATGTCGCGACGCTGTCAGTCTCGGAGTGCGGCCGCCCGTCGGACCTGCCCCACGTTGTTCGTCCTGAGCTCCGTCAGGATCTCATGTTCCGGCTTGAAACGGAGATCAGGAGCAACGATAGCTTCTGGTATGGTGTTGCGCGCATGTCGAGAAAAATTTCGCGTGCCTGGTCATATCACATGGTTTGGAAAATAGCTTTGGTCTGTGCATGGGTAGTACTTTTTTATGAAAGGCGACCCACTTGCTGGTCCTCAATGTCAAGGCTGCATGGTCCGCGTGCGGCTTGAATTTGTTTGGACGTCCCGAAGGCGTTGTTTCATTATCAAAAATGATCATTTTCGCCACAGGTTTGCACGACGACGTAGGAGCCGAATGGATTTAACACAGGCTCAGAAGCCTGGCAATCACTGGACAGTTTTCAGCGAGGGACAACTTCAGAGTGAACAGGCACCTGAGAGAACAGGGTCGAGCGAAGGTCGTTGTCGGGGCGTCGGACGAGGGTACGCACCATCCAGACACCGTGGGGGGGGGGATGCGCGACCCAACGGAATGAGCCTGGGGCGCGAGGGTCATCCGGCGAGGAGGCGCCCAAAGCGGAGCTAACACTCCCGTGATCGACGTCCAGGAGTGCATCACAGTCGGAGGCCGAGTTCGAGCAAGATTCTGTACCGTTTTAAACCTTATTGGGCTTCCCACGGTAGAGAAGCGGTGAGGGAGAAACAACACCGAAATGTTAAGACGCTTGTTTACAGCAGAGGCGCGTGTGTAATAGCACGAATCGCACAAAATCGACAAAAAAATGGACCGTCTTGGCCGGTCGCGGGAAGTGGGATGGACCCGCAACGTAGTGAAAATGTCTCGCCCATTTCGGTGGCAGCCCCGAAAGGGTCGACGAAGTCTCCAGTCGCAAATTTGACTCACTGCTTTCCATATCTGCAAGGCATGTTTCCTTCCAAGCCTTCTGACAGTGGTCATCAAGATGTCTGTGTACCAATAGCTTCTCGAACCTTACCAAATTCATCAAAATTGTTTGCACAATATAAGATGGAAACTTGGACGTAACGGTATATATCCTCCTGGCCGTAACCAAGGTCTTGATTTGCCTCCTTGCCGCCACCCAGCGGCCGCTGTGGGTACTTCTGTTTTCCTACCTGTCCGACTGGATAGTAGGGCAGGTTGCCCACTCACAGCTCAGCGCCGCTCAGTGTGCTCCTTGCGGTGTACGTGTGGGGTGCGCGGGGCGGTAGTTCCCGGTGGTAGTGTGACATAGCCCCAGAAGTGTCACCAGGTACGTCACAGCCCTGTGGATCTTGTGTCGGGTGATGGGCGCCGTAACGTTAATGGGGAGGAGTGCCTACCATAATAATTCATGTCAGTGCCAGCGGCGTAGCCTGAGCCCTAGGGGGCGGGGGTTACATCGGGTCATAGGGGGCCCTCCAGCCAAGCGGCCTCCTGACATCGCTAAGGGGTCTTGTTTTTGGATTCGTGGTATATTCATGGTTTATTCGTGGTATTTTTGTGATATATCGTTAGTAGGGCTCGAGTCGTATTTAATGTCTCGGGATACGTCTATATGTTTATCTTTTTTATATGGATCATGTTCTTAATATTTGGTAAGCCCCTCTGACGTCGTGTGTTAAATTCCACTAACTTAAGATAAGTGATAATACCTAGTATGTGAATACAAATAAACATCTTAAACTCGAGGATAAATATGTAAGAACATCACGAGAATGGGCCAAAGCCCGAGTATCTTACTATATTTGGTTGAACACGCATCCAGCTCCGCCGTGGACCCCTCTCGGGAGATTGAAAAACTGCAAGCGTTCCATGACGCAATCAACCAATGACATAACGAGGAGAATATGCACTAAAAGTTGTGTTTTAGAAAATTGGGAGTATCCCCGCACCAACGTCAACACCAATACTCCATCACCGAGTCCCGTCCCCCGCTTCTGGTAAAACGTCTAAAAAGTCGTCGGGCAGTAAAGTTGATATGCATGCAACGTTAAAACCTGCTCACACGTGGTCGCTAGCCGAGAAGGCCAGCTGATTACGGCCGGGGACTCGGCGTCCCTGCTGTTGTGCTCGGCCTCCGCGTCAGCATCGGTATCCCGCGGCCGCGGGTTGGCCAATCGTTGCCAAGCTTTCAGAGTATTGTGCTGTCAGCCGCGTCATCTGACCTCGGCTGCCGGAGGTCACCGAATTGGCGGATTACCTGGGGTTGGGTGGCATCTTCTGGTGACGGGCCGACTCAGTGGGCTGGCGGCTTTTCCCTAGGTTGTTCCCGAATGATAAGTACCGTTCTCTCATAGCCTTTGGGGATATGTCGCTTCCCTCCTTCATACCCTCGGACCCCGCGAAGTTGACACGTCACCTCACCTCCCCGTAGCGCACGTAACTCTTGCGAGACGCTGTCTGTGCGCGTCACGCTCGGCGTCAAAACGGGAGTGCCGACCCAACATCAACATGTGCGTCCGATTCGGGTGTGATTTACGACAGCTCGGGATGGCCGAGAGGCTCATAAAGCCGCAGATATACAACCTTCCGTATCGAGGATCTGCTGCCGGCCCGCTAAACACGGCCCAGCCAGCATCGTCCCTGTGCCTGTCGGCACGCGGAGCGGGCCGAGCCGGGCTGAAGACAAAGCCCAACCGCGCACCAATGTCGGATCGGTTCCGGCTTCCACGGCCAGAATCGCGGCCAAATGAGCAGCTTTGCTGAGCATGTCGGACTGGCCCGCCGCCGTCCAGCTGCGGTAAACCTATCTGGCATGCCAGCGCGGGACGGGAGTCGTGATTGCGATCGTCATAATTCATCGATGTCATTCAATTCTGTAGAAACATCGGAAGCCTTTCACCAACCACAGCTAGCTATTCGCCATGCCGAGAAGGCACTCACTAGGTTTTAGTGTCTCTTACCAGAACGCTGCATCGCTGCTTTCACAACTTGCTGCTCATTTGAACTGCCTAGTTTTGTAAAATTCCCTTTCGAGTTCCTTTCCCTACCACTGTCAATCTTCATAGCAAATTCGTTCGAAATTGTACAGAGTTTTTGCATCCGTCCGCGACCGAACATATTATTTGTTCTGAAGAATATGTTGCTCCGTCGCCTTCATAAACCGTACGAGACCTTGTGCTACCTGACTCAATTTGGCCAACTTATGCAGAAGATTCCAATTCAGCTGGAGGCTGGTAGCTTCGCGGCCTCTGGCCAAGTGATAACCTACACTAATTATCCGAAATGTTGGCAAATTACCTGCCGTGTCACTTGGAACCACAGTACACAAAAAATAGAGCAGACTACTGGTGCTTAACGATAGTCTTGAAAAACGTTCAGATATTGATGGGAGCGGATGTTCTTAGATGAACAAATCTAATGTTTTGAAGAATGGTATGGAGGTAGCTGTGAACGGGGACACCTATCACGGTAGGGCAAAACAATGAACTAAGTATTGCTGGAGCTTTCGCATAGAGACGCTGACATAGAGTTGAATGCTGCAGTTGCCGAAAAAGAGGCAAATGCTGCGCCCCTGCTATAGTGACTGAGTGCTGCGAATACAAAGTAGGAAAAGTTATCATGATGGAAAGGGATCGAAGGAAAAATTCCCCGTGAGTACACACTGCGAAAGGCTCCCTTAGGCTAAGGCTCTTCATTGAATCGCTGTACCGTTAGAAGTGTCGAAGCACTTCCGCCATGCATGTGGAGGATCTGTTGGGCCGGTGGCTAACTTGATCGACCGCCTGCAAGTAAACTTGTGGTTTCCACCATGCTCGAAGCAAAATGACGTGCTTTGCGGTTTTGACAAACTTGTGCATGAAATGTAATCAAAACTAATGACGTATTGTATGCTGTTAAGCTTGGTATCCTTCGGCATGTATTGGCGGCTCAGGGGAAATCTCTAGTTTCATTGGTACTGGACAGTCAGGCATTTCCATGTTGCGGAACATTTGTATGATGGCCCTCAATGGCAGCGCTGTTTCTAGAATCACTGGTTATTGTCTGAGCACCAAGCTGTCATCAATATTAAGTTATCCATACAATGAAATATCAAAAAGCGCTGCTATCTTAACGGGTTGACGCAGTACGAGTTGCAAGCTCGTTCATGGAACTTATTTTCCTTCGTCCGGCGGCAGGTGTATGATACGGTTCCTAGTAGGAACAACAGCACGACCAAACACCGGTGTGTCGCGCTCAAACCAGACAAAATCAGCGTGATGTGGCGGCCAAATTGGGGCAATCTGCGATAAATCATTCGCGTGTGAATGTTCTCTCCACTATCTTCATGGGAGACCGGTGAATGGCACGTGGCAAGATATGGGAAAATTTATGTCTGTTTACTTTTGACAATCGTGAAATGACCCCGGGGGCCGAAGACATCGTCCTGTCATCCGGAATACTATAAGGAATCGGCGCACCGCTTCCTGCTATGATGGAGAGGAGGACTGAGGGAGGCAGCCGTGCACTGTGCACTATCACGCCATCTTCCAATCTGCTAACAGAGGTGATATTGCATCTTTAGCACACGAAGATCGCGTTAGAAACAGCACTTACTGTGGCCCTGCAAGCCATGTACCTTTATGCATACCGGCTTCTCAGAACTGGCATCGGCCGGTAACCATTGCTGCCTGTCCCCCCCCCCCCCCCCCCCGTGTTGAGCTCCTGCAGGCGCAGCAACGGTACAGACGCCCTCCCATTTTCCTGTTTCCGATCAGATTACGAATCGATTGTGTCACGCTGAAAGCCTTACAGGCAGACTGTGGCTTCCATCCTCCCGACGATTAAGTGCAACTTTGAGTCAACGTTTGCCGCTTTGGGCTGTTTTTTTATCCCAAGCGATGGACCGATGTGAATCAGAATACCTATCCAATGCACCGTTTATCGATGGTGGATAAACGGAAGCGTTAAAGGCTCGTGCTGGCGTTATCATCTCGGATTGATTTAATCTGCGTTGTAGGCATCCAGATTGGTACTTGCATTTAATCGTTGGACACACTCGAACGAAAATTGCCGGCCAATCTGGACAGTCAATCACTTGCGGAGGCAATAAAGTTAACACGCTTTCTCTCTTTCTAAAAAATCTCTCAATTTCTCTCTTCCACACGTTCATTTCAAAGCAACACCAAGTGGCAGCAGTGTCATGCAGCCTGCCTGTGTTTGATATTGGCGGACCCGTAATCAATCACACGCTACAGTGGGGATTATTCGCTGCTCCGTCAAAACTTCAGATGACATGTTCACGCCGTCACACCACTGCTTACAACGTCACGGGCACCTCCGCCGGGCTCTCACGCGTGAAAACGGCCGCCAGCGCAGGGTTCGCGGCTTTTATATGCCGCGGGCTGCCGCGGAGCGGACGTCGTCAAGTGGACCAAGTAGCTGTAGCTGGTTTGAATTAGTGATGCCTTTAATATTGAAGTCACTACATATGCATAAATGTATCCTCTTAAGGAGATTCTTCATTATGTTCCTCAACCCTGCTAAAGGCGTTACCTCCTCATCAATTTTGTTTCTTCGTCAACTCGTCATTTGGAGCCGGTTGTACTGTTTTATGGCTCTCATACACGGTAAGGGCTGTGGGCAGCAATCCTCCACTCTCATCAGAGGTAATCAAATCTCATTATCCCATAAATATATTGAGGATTGATGTGTCAATGCAACCTTGAAAAGCACATGTTCCATGCAAGAACCGTATGCCTTCCAAGAACGTTCTGATCTCAGATTCGAATAAATCAAACACATGTGCACCACATCGATAAAAGCTAACAAAGACTACAGCGAACAGGCGATCTGATGTATGCTTCATTAGCTAAGCCACTGTAACTACCGTTAACTTAAAGAGGAAGAAAATTATCGCTCCGAAAATGGCAACAGTTGTGCCTGCAATAAACCAAAGCAGAAATATTGTGAAAGGATGCTCCCAAAGGCCATTGCCTGTTCATGTAGCTTGATCGGTCTTTACCTTGGGACCTAGATCTCTGAATTCGTCCCCGCTCACGACTGGATTTGAATCCACTATGGTTTGGTACATGGGCTCTAATCTCTGTAACTTTTTCTCTAGCTTCCTCGTGGGCATCAGCGTAGAACCAAACGACAAAAAAAAACTTACCAAAGGTGCAGGGATTTCACTAAAAACTGCATCTCGATTGCTGTACCAATAAAAGGACGTAGCCGGTTGGGACCACGTCACACTCATCTATCACAGAATAAGACAAATGCGCGAGGGTACCGGTGATCACTCTCAGATGTTGTGCTGGCCTGCCGCTTGCCGCAACTTGTGACGAATGGTCGGACGTTTGTCATGAACAGGCCTGGGTAATGTCAGACTCAAATGTTTTGACATTTGCTCACCGGCATCGACACGGTTCAAAGCACCAGTGAATCACAGGGGCACGTTTAGTGTAGCATGAAATTCGTCGCTCGTCACGTTTTGCGGCTGTCCTCCCGGAATTCAATGCTGCTGGTTGCTGCGTTCAGTAATCTGCACGAATGGACATGATTCATGCCGAGGACCTCGTGAAATCTTTTGGACTGAGTCTGCTTGGGGATATGTTCTTGAAAATATGTTCTCTAATATTTCTCTTAAACATGTCGGCATGATGCATCTCACAAAATTCCGCGAACCAAAAATGGCCTCTAACATGCGCTTCGTTTTAGGAAGTTGTCTTGCGTCTAAACAAAGTGGCATGATATGTGCAGATGGCTGCAATGCAGCTCATTTCATTTTGGCCCATTGACCTCACAACTACGCTCTATGCTTTATACGTTTGTAACGTTGGTCATATTCAATTACCTTGTCTGCCCCACACATTTTTCCGTTCCTGCACCCTAAAATTACAATCAGAATTCAGTACAAATTCCTCAGTTAGCCAAGGGTGTTTAAACATTTAAGGAAAAAAATACACCAAATGGTTTGCACGGGTGGCTCTGAGTTCAAGTACCTGGTAAGCATAGCTTTTTGCGTGAACCCTGAACACGCCACACAAGTCGTGCTGTCCAGTTAACAGAATTTTGCCCCCGCCCTTTCGCCACGAAGGGATGCGGAGTGTTTCAACTGCCGCACAATGCTGCGACACGGCCGCCCCGGGCCTGCGTTGACCCTCGTTGGCCAGCTGCCAGCTGACCTTTACATTTCAGTCGGGCCAAGCGATATGACCTCTGTGGAACTCGTACCCAGTACCTCTGAACGACGAGTTCAGTATCTTTCCCCTAGACCACGGAGATGGTATCTTTCTCGGTGATCTTAAATACGAAATCGTCATGTGGTCATCGGTCGTCAATACGTGTGTAACCAGGACGTCATGTGGTCATCGATCGTCAGTACGTGTGTAACCAGGACGTCATGTGGTCATCGGTCGTCAGTATGTGTGTAACCAGGACGTCATGTGCTCATCGATGTCAGTACGTGTGTAACCAGGACGTCATGTGGTCATGGTCGTCAGTACGTGTGTAACCAGACGTCATGTGGTCATCGATCGTCAGTACGTGTGTAACCAGGACGTCATGTGGTCATCGTCGTCAGTACGTGTGTAACCAGGACGTCATGTGGTCATCGTCGTCAGTACGTGTGTAACCAGGACGTCATGTGGTCATCGGTCGTCAGTACGTGTGTAACCAGGACGTCATGTGGTCATCGTCGTCAGTACGTGTGTAACCAGAACGTCATGTGGTCATCGATCGTCAGTACGTGTGTAACCAGGACGTCATGTGGTCATCGATCGTCAGTACGTGTGTAACCAGGACGTCATGTGGTCATCGGTCGTCAGTAGTGTGTAACCAGGACGTCATGCGGTCATCGTTCGTCAGTACGTGTGCAACCAGGACGTCATGCGGTCATTGGTCGTCAGTTGTGTGTAACC